TATGTCAGCCTGGGGGTTGCCTGTTTGCCGCCGGTTGGAAGTGCTTCCCTTGGGTCGATCAGGGACTTTGTGATGTCCCTGCGACCAGCAAGGTGTTGTCTTCCCAGTCACCATCTCTTCGGGATGGTTTAGGTCCTACTGGACTGTCCAGGGGCAAAAGTGTCATCAATAGATTCAAACTGTTGAGTCCATACGATGTAACGTTGCAACGTTGGCTCCTCCTCCTTTTACGTCTTGCATCCTTTCTAATGCCCACTGTCACTTTGTGCCTTGTGGGATTCTTCTCCCTTATGGCCACTGTAGCTGTCAAACTTTTGTGCAGAGCCCAGGGCTGTCTCTCAAGTGCCGCTGTTAAAGCGCTCACACCAATCATAATAATCCCGATCACAGCGCTTCGCAAAACTCTCTACAAGCGCTGCTGATGAAGCCCAACCATGAGAGATCAAAGGGCTGGAGCTAGAAGTGGCGCAGCTGTGTTTTAAATTGCACACTTCTCAAGTGGCAAAACAAAGACCCAGCTGCCCAGCTAATTTCTCTTCCTTGAAGCCCCAGGGAGCTAGCGGTGAGAGCTGAGCTTGAAAGAAAGTGCAGCAGCACGCGAGTCTCAGCAAGCTGTCAAAGTCCCAACTTCATGGGGCAGCCACTGCAATCGCAGAATCAAGAATCAATCACAAAATCAATCACAGATCATTGAAACGATCTTGTTAGCTGGATAGAGGCGGGAACCTGTGCCAATGTAATGACACAGACAAAGAGCGCTCCACTCTCTCCATCTTGTCACCTGAGCAATCAGAGTTTCCTCAGGGTGAGCAATGGGCACAAGGCCTTTCCACTCTAGTCTGGCTGACAGTTCCAACAATGTCAGGCTTACTTCCTCAATTCAGGCAAGATATAGAAACAAACCAATGTAAATTATTCTACCTACACTATTATTAATAATCTTATCAAGGAGCTAATGATGACATGACCATCCTCAAAGTGGACTGAGTCAAAAAGCTGGATAAGGGTAGAAACAGGGAGGGTGTCTTAACTATATTTAATCAGACTCAGTCCAATCCGAAGGCATACAATGTCAACCCATGCATGGCTGCTATCTCCAACTCAGGGGTGGGTTTCAACTGGTACAGACTGGTAGGGCTGTACCAGATGGTGAAATTTAGCATGCCTTCCCATACCTGTTGGTCAGGAGGCCCTGTACCAGAATGCTACCTCCCCTCCTTTGCTCTTTCACTTACCCTGCCCAACCTCACCATGCTGCCGAAAAGTTCTTTTTCTTCAAAAGAACCAGAAGAACAAAGAACTGGTGAGTGGCTAGGGTGGGGTGGGGAGGAGTTGGGGAAGAGAGAAGAGGCAGAGGGGCTTCTAGAAGTGTGTGTGTGTGTCTGTCTGTCTGGCTGTCTGTCTCTCTGTGTGTGTGCACAGGCTGTGGGTTTTAAAAAACGTCAGAGTGAATCCAGGAAGAGGGAAGAGGCAGAAGGGCTGGAAGATACTGTAGGAACACATGCTTCCAGCCTCTCTTTAAAACTCACAGCTTGTGCACACACACACACTTCCAGACCCCCTGCCTCTTACCTCTTCCTGGATTCACTGACGTTTTTAAGATTCACAGCCTGTCACACACACACACTTCCAGCCCCTCATATATGCAGAGGCTGTGAGTTTTAAAAATGTCAGAGTGAATCCAGGAAGAGGGAAGAGGCAGAGGGGCTGGAAGTGTGCATGTAAGGTGGTTAGTAATGTTGAAGACCAGCAAGGACAGCCATATTTCCTCTGTAAGCAGCTGTGTTGTTGTTTTGTGTACTTATTTTATTCTTATTTAAGTAGTAAGTGCACAAAATAGCAAATTTTCTTTTTTTATATCTTTTTTTGTGGGTCATTGTTTGGGGCAAAGAATTCAGTGACATCGACTTGGCCACTCCCACCCAGAAACACGACTGCCAACCTACTCCCACCCAGTCACATGGCCACCAAGCCACTCCCACAAAACAGGTCACAACTACAGAATAAGTTCTAAAAAAATTTGAAACCACCACTGCTCCACCTCTATTGAGAATAAAGTATAATATGTAGTGGTGACTATGGTGCCAAAGGGATTCATGCAGAAGGAATAGTTGTTGCTTGATGGAGTTTTGTCTTTCTATTTTCAAAGATCTCCTATGTGTGCCAGGGGTGGGTTCCTACTGGTGTTGGTACTGGTTCGCTTTTCGTGGGCTTCACTGCCGTTTCTATGACCCAAGCCAAATTATCACTACCGGTTCGTTGAACCGGTGTGAACTGGTAGAAACCCAGCTCTGATATGTACTTTATAAAACATAAAACATTTAATTCCCATAGAGGTTCTGATAGAAGTCAGTATCTATAGAAGTTTGAACTGGAGAGTCCAAGGTGCTCTCTGAACTTAGTTCTTTCCTTATAGATGGTTCATCACCCAACTAGATAAAATCATCAATGTGAGTGTTAATGTCTTTCCATAGCATGTACCTTTTCATCACAGTGCAGTTATTTCCCTTTTTAATCATTATGCTATTTTTTATTAGGAGAATGGTTATGGCAAGATAACAATGAAGTTGCTTTTGTCAACTGGAATGAATCAGAATTAAAATTTCTACAGTCTGATAGTGAAGAGGACAAAGCAGATCTTAACAAGTGCATTTACATGAATAGTGATTCTGGGAAATGGTTCGTCGGGCACTGCCATTATTATGAAATGAGATCATTTATTTGTAAAAGAAACAAAAGTAAGTGTCATTATCATTATCACAATATTAGACTGAAAATGAGATTTGTGCAGTGAATAGACATTAAATTATATGGCTTCCTATAATATTCTAATCCCTCTGTTTTCTTCCTAGGTAGGTGTTCCTTAGAATTATTCTTACCATTTTACTATCTGCTCAATTTTAAATATATCCAAAATATTCAAAGTTTTTCTGTGTTTATAATTCCTTGATGGACAGGTTTTTCTATCTCTATATTTTAAAAGACTTCATCCTGATCTATTTATACTGTCTTTTGTTGTTGTTATCATTGCTCTTTGTCTTTTTAGACAACTAATTTGTATGCTGTAAGTACATCATCCTTCTTTTTCTCCCTTCCTTTTCTTCTGTCAAACTATCTGAATTGTCATTTTTATCCTAGGTTTATTTCTTTTTCAAATAATGTGTTATGTGAAATATAATAAAAGTAAAAATAGAATCAATGACAAAATATATTGATTTTTGCTTCCAGTTATTGAATGACAAATTTTAATATACATAATTAAGTATATTATCTATATCAGGGCTATCAAATTCCCAGCATGTGGGCAAATGCATCACATGCTGACCATGCCCAGTTTAGCAAAGGAGGGGGGGAGCTCTGATAATCACATGTTGCCACTACGATGACATGAGTTTGACATCCCTGATCTATATAATGTACTTGATGGTGTGGTAGAATGTACTACTGCAGGCTAATTCTGCTGCCTGCTGCTGGCAGTTCGAGTCTAAGCAGCTCAAGGTTTACTCAGTCTTCCAACATTCTGAAGTCAGTAAATGAGGAACCAGATTGTTAGGGGCAATATGCTTACTCTGTAAACAACTTAGACAAGGCTGTAAAGCACTCTGAAGTATATAAATCTAAATGCTATTGCTGTTAATATATTCTTAGCAGTATAGTTTTAATAAACAAAAATTCATTTCCATCAGTTGTTGTTCCCTAAGTATTAGATCAACTGTTTTACAGCATTAGTAATCTATTACTCACTAAACTGAATAAAAACAGTGTCAACAACCAATGTTTGTTTCATAACATTTAAGGCAAATGACTAATGTAGGAGCATTTGGATTGCTTTGTAAATGTTATTCTGAAATTTTGTATTTCTAGTTGCCTATTCTGTCTATAGACTCAAATATTACTATTACTTTTTGTGCCTTAATTCATTCCTGATAGATACTTTAAACACAGTTTAGAATATTTCATATAATGAATATCCCATGAATTCAGATTCCTATCAAACAATATAAACTTTTAATGAAACTCAGATATAAGTGAAAGAAATTTTAAGATGTTGTCTTAAAGTATATAGCTGTCTCTTTTGAATTCATAAAATTTGCTAACATTCAGTATGAAAATCTGCTGTGATTCAGGGAATTCATTTTTCAAAATTGCCTTGTATATCCTTCTTTGTTGTTAAATTAAGTATGTGCAGTAAGACATTTGTTTGTTTGTTTGTTTGTTTGTTTACTGAATTTATATTGCTGCATATTCGCCTATGGCAACTCAAGGCAGCTTACAGAATATAGGACCACATTTAAAACAATAAAAACTAATAAAGAGAATCAAATAAATTAATATAGTACAGTATAACAAAATCACGCCCCATCTCCCCTGCCCTGTCCTGGTGACAGCTGATCACATGAGCCATTTAATGAGATCCATCATGCTCTGGGTTCCCCAGGCCTGCTGGCAGAAGCAGTTATTCAGCACCTTCCAGAAGAGTATTAGAGTGGAGACTATTCTAATCTCTGGGGGAATGATGTTTCAGAGAGAGGGAGACACCATGGAGAAGGCCCTTCTTCTGGATTCCACCAGGTATATCTCTTTCAGGGATGGGACCCACAACATTCTCTGCCTCCTCGCTCTGATTGGTCAGGTAGATGTGACCAGCAAGAGACGATCCCTCAGATAACCTGATTTCAAACCATGAAGGACTTTAAAGGTGACAGCCAGCACCTTGAAGTGCACCCAGAAGCAAATCGGCAACCATTGCAGCTCCCGTAGGAGAGGTGATATGTGTGCATACCGGGGTCTGCACAAAATCATGTGGGCTGCTACCTTTTGCACCAACTGGAGCTTCTGGATGCTCTTCAAGGACAGCCCCATGTAGAGCGTGTTGCAATAGTCAAGACGGGAAGTGACTAGGGTATGAGTGACTGAGTAGGGACTGTTGGTCCATGAAAGGGCATAACTAGTGCACAACCCACAGTTGCGCAAAACCATTCCTGGCCATGACTGCCACCTGCTCTTTGAGCAGGAATCGTGAGTCCAGAAAAACCCCGAATCTGTTTGGGGTAGTGCCACCCTATCTAAGACCAAATGTGGAAATACTCCTGAGCCAATGAACCCCAAACCCAGAGCCACTCCAACTTGCAAGGCTTTAGTTTCAACCCATTGCTCCCCATCCAGCCTCCAACAGCCTCCAGGCACTGTGAAGGGAGGAGCATCACTTAATTCACCACGGGCCGAGACATACAGCTGAGTATTATCAGCATATTGGTGATATCTCAGTTCATGGTGAAAGATGATCTCACCCAGCAGCTTCATATAAATGTTGAACAAGAGTGGAGAATACCGAGCCCTACAGAATCCCGTAAAGCAGTGGGTGAGGGCTGGATCTCTCCCCTCCTATCAACACTGACTGAGAGCAGTTGCAGAGAAAGGAATGAACCAGGATAGCACAAGGCCTCCCATTCCTATCCCCTGATGCTGCCCCAGGAGAAAACCATGGTCGATGGTATAGAAAGCATATACATTATGCTTTTATTTTATTTTATACTGAAACCAAATTTAATTATTTTCTAGTTATTGAAGAATCAACTCTAAAGTCTACAGCAATATCAGGTAAGAAAGTAATTTTTAAAAAAGGTAAGAAGAATGTTATTTTTAAAATTTAGTAATTTTTTCATAGCTGTGAACTAAAAATTCTACTATATAGGTCAAATGTAGCGGAATTTGTTTTTGTAGATTAAAAGATTTAGATGACAAAATATATTCAATGTTGTTATGAAAACTTATTTTATCTCCAGTCAATTGTTATAATTGTCATGTTTTACATAATATTTCCTATATTAATAGAGTGGAAGCTATGCAGATCATTGAGATGGCAACCTATTGCATTTTTTTTCTTCAAACCTTGAAATTTTGGTGGCTGTTGCCAAATATCACAGCTGTGAATGAATAAACCATCTGTCATGGTCCCAAGTAATGGTCCCAATCAATTCAGGACTCTGAGGCTGTAGCTTTTCTCAAAGATCCATTTTATTGGATCCATTATATCAGCACGTTCAAATGTGAATTCAACTCTGAATAATTCCCACACTTTGGCATAATTAAAGAATAGATACTACCCTTGTGTCACAGGTCACATTAACTAACCAAACAGGTGATGAACTTCTCAGCACTCCCTTTTGTCATTGCTAGGGGACATTCATCTGGCCTTGGTTTTCACGAGCCTTATCACTGTTACGTCTGGAACTTTGGAGGAAAACATTCTACATGCCATAAGTCATGGCATGGCAATTAAGAAACAAATTAGAGGAGAAATATGGCTTCGGCTAGAGTCATTTCGAGAGTTGACACCATTATATTTTTAAGGATATATCATGAAATTACCTTACTTTTTTTATATTTGGTAAAAAAATATTAAATGACAGTCCTTTAACGTGTTATTGCAGCACAGACATTAAAGAGAGACACAGAGAGAAAAAAGATGTTTTTTTTTTTAAGCCAGCTGGAGATATTATAAAAATCTCATTAAATCTCTAAGAAGTTTTATTCCCCACAGTGTCAAAGCCCAGAATTGTATTCCTAACTTCTCCTGCCATCCATGATCATTTGGATGATCTTATATTTATGAAACTAAGTCTTGAAAGTCCACCTTCTTCAGTTATTATGATGGAATAATTATTATTATTTTCAGTTAATTATTATTATTTTCAGTTCCCAAAGAAATAATTAGCAAGAAGTGATAGCCATAGCAATGTGTAATTGTTTTTACTATGGAATAACGCACATATCTAACACTGAGCTTTACATCAAAAGACTGTCAATTCAGTCCTTATCTTCCACAGTCAACATATATCAATTTCCTTTGGGATCTGTAATAGACAGGAAAAGTATTAAATTTACTTCCTTTTACTGAGTTACAATTCACAGATTATTGGGGCTGATAGATGTCTTGCTGGCTCTGTCTTTATTAGGCTATTTCTAGCTAGAATGCAATCTCTTTTGGCTTCTTTGTCATTTAAAAAAAATCTTAAATCAGAGATTTATCATTAGTTGCGAAGTCATGTCGCGATCTCATGAACTCCAGGCCTTCCTGTCCTCTTCCATTCCCCATAGTCCATTTAAGCTCACACTTTATCATAGTTTTATCATAATATATTCAGTGTTTTTTTCTTCTCTTTGGTATTTTAGGGCAGAAAGGAGTGGCACCTCTACCAACACATGGCACAACTGTGATGATAGTTATCCCAATTATCTTCATAGTCATAGGTGCAGGAATTGCGGCCTATATTTTCTATAGAAGAAGAAACAGAGCACAACAAGTCTCTGCTGGATTTGACCATTCTTTGTATAGTGACAATGTGGTTACTCTTCATAAGGATTCACAACCTCTTGTAGACAGCGAAGAATTAAATTAACATGGCACAGTTGTGATGAAAGTTATCCCAGTTATCTTCATATGCATCGGTACGATACAGAATTTTCATTCTATATTTTCTACAAAAAAGAAATAGACCACATGTCTCTGCTGGATTTGACAATTATTTGTAAAGTGACAACATTATTATTCTTCATAATGATTCATAATCTCTTATACAGAACAAATAATTAAATTAACAAATACTGCTACAGTATCCCATTGGATACTATACATTCAAAATTAAATGTATTGGATTACACTGTTTATAATTTTTTACAGTGCAGTATTTGAAAAAGTTTAGATCCTATCACAACAGGCATAGGCCAGACCGGGGGTGGGTTCCTGCCAATTCTAACCTCTTCTATAGAAGAGGTTCCACAATCTACTGTGCCTTTTAGAACCGGTTCCAGCTCCCTTCCCCCACCTGTTCACACCACGCTTGCCCTGCCCACCGCTCACTGATTGGCTGGCTCACAAATTGCCCCACCCGCCTCTAAGAGTCCTAGCTAAACCTTAAAGTCTTAAAGCTGTCAAGTTTGAACATCCCTGGGGGTTTTTTTTTCCTAAAGGGTTAGGGGTGCAAGGGTCTTGTAACTTGACAGCTTTAAGATTTGCACACTTCAATGCCTGAGTTCCTGAGCCAACATGACTGGAGGAGGAATTCGGGGAGTTGACGTCCACAAGTCTTAAAACTGTCAAGTTTGAATACCCCTGAAGTTTTTTTTTCTAAAGTCTTAGGGGTGCAAGAATCTTGTAACTTGACAGCTTTAAGACTTGCATGTTTCAAATCCCAGAGTTTCTGAGCCAATATTTTGATTGCTAAACAAGAGTGTTATTTAGTGAATTTCACCACATTTTATAAGTTGACCATGCCCACCCAGTCATATGACTGCCAAGCCACTCCCACCCAGTCACAAGGCTGCCAAGCCACTCCCACAAAGCCGGCCATACCTACAGAAGAGGTTCTAAAAATTTTTGAAACCCATTACTGGGTCAGACCCATATTATGAAACGTTAGAATTCAGTAGATAGTTTAAATTTAAGCTTACCTTTTGTCAGTTTTTAAAAAAGAGAAACAGAAGTTTTTCTTTTATACATTTATTTTATTGCCCTTGTGCCACAGCTGGTCTTTTGACTGTCTTGTCTGTGTCATGCTTGGTCAATTTGAAGTTAGAATATAAAACATAAATAAAAGTGGGGGGAGAAAAGTGGACTGGTGGGAGCGTTTTTGTGTGTGCACCAGAAGAGGCTAAAGGGAAGTGAGGTGAGGCAAAGCTCCATGCTCCCTCATCTCCCAACACTTGGATGCCAGTGGAAGAATTAAGTTCAGCCTATTGGCTCAGCACTCCACAACAGTCCTAGTTTCTGATGTGCTCCCTTGGAAAATTAATTGTCCTCCTGTGGCATATACAGTATACAAACGTGTTTCTTTATTAAATATATTTTACTACAGTGAATTGCAAATGGTTCATTCAATTGGATATGATTCCTTTAGTTGCCCCTATCAAACCAATTTTCACAGCCAGCAATGTCCCCATTTATCTTCTTGCTGGCCATCTGCGTTCCTTTCATACACTGCTCAGGTGTATGTAACAGCCTTTTCTAGAGACTATTCAAGAGAAGCAGCTCCTCCTTTTTGGTCCTGGACCCTGAATATCCACTCCTGTATATACACCAAATCTCAAACAATTCAGAGTAACATTCCTTCCTTGATGTTATCTTTTGGACAAAGCATATGCCAGGGAATTCATGATCACTCTGTTCATGCTTGCAGCCTCTTTCATAAAGCTAAAATGGAAGTGAGTAGCTGTTACCGATGTTTAAAGAGAAGAAGAATGACTTTAGTTATCAAAAAGGATTCTATCTGCTAAGGGAACTGAATCTGCCCATTTATACATTCAATTGTACATCTAAATACAGAGAAACAGGTCAAAAAGTAAATTCAAGGGTATTCTTGATAATTTATCTGCAGATATTAAACAATAAAATACAGTGCATGAAGAATAGCCAGGAAATTGGGCACATTAATAGACTGCTGATAAGAAATGCAATGGTACAATTGCAGAGAAACTTGGAGAACAAATGTGTAAATTGTTATAAATGTCTTCTTTTGATACACAGCTCTCTTTTCTGTATAGATAAACAAATCATTTTAGTTTTTCTTGTTTTACAATTTTCAGTTCATTCAATCCTATTTTCAGTATGCACAAAATTTCTATACGTTTTCAGATTGTTGTGGAAGACATACTCTGGTCTTGGAACTAGTGCTTTCTTAGATTTAGCCCAACTCACCTCACAGCAGTGGTGGGATATGACCGGTACGCCCTGGTACAGGTGCCCCTGTTCCAGTACGATGCTCCGGAAGGTGCGCCCACCCGCTCTCCTTACCTGTATTTGAGCAGATTGAGGCTTATGCGCATGCACAAGGAGCGTACGACGCCTGCGCAATGTTCCACCAAGCAGCTGGATTGTTGCAGAGCCATCGCAGAGCGTCGTGGGTAGTAAATACACATGCGCATGTTGCTCTCGCGCATGTGGTAGATGCCCGGCCCTATTGCACCGTACCAGTTGCAACGGGATCCACAACCCACCTCTAGCTCATAGGGTTGCTGTTGTTGTGTGGGGAAAATAGGAGGAAAGTGTGTTGGATAGGTTTATTGCCTTGAGTTATTTTTAAAAATAATAAAGGCAAAATATAAAAAAATAAAAAAATAAATTAAGTAAATAATGGCATGCATGCATCATTTTCCTATGATGCAAGATAGCTTCTGTTTGAAGTTAGAGGACATTCTGCTGATAGTCAACATCTGAGCCTTTCTTTATGAGTGGTTTTCTCAGGACCTAGCTCTTCTTGGGGTAATAGAAAGAGTTTTCAATAGAAACACAATGATGCCCTTGCTCTTGTTGCATTTCTCTTATCTTTTGGATGCAGAAGAAAAGTAAACTCAAGGCAGCATAAATCATGATGGGGCCAGGACAAGACCATTGCCATTGGGGAGAGGGAGACTAGTGACAAAAAGGGATTGCAAGGTCATTCAACGGATGTTGTAAATGATATATTTGCGCAAATGTCACCACTTTGTTAGTCCAACAATTTAAAAAAAAACTGTTTCTGGACCAATTCCATTTCCATTCCTTCTCTGTCTCCACATGTTATTGTCTGGAACAAACAGATTTATTCACTATCATTTCTTTTTAACCAGCGGGCACTCAACACTAAGACTTGAATGGACATATGAGCTCTTGATGATCATCTGTGCAAAGGCATGATTTAAATATATTGGGTAAACCATCATTATTTGCCTGGCACAAACTCTTGAGACTTAAGCAACAGTTTACAGCCTGCAATAGTACAGTTATCACAATATATTAAATAGAATGAAACACATTCCGATTTGAGGAAATGACAAAATTAGCCATTATAAATTTTTGTGACTTAAAATAAGGGATGCACTATCTGACTAAACCAAATAGATGTTGAATGGTGATGTTTTATTATGAAAATATTTAGATTACCTGTTAGCCTGACACAATAAACTGCATTTATTTTCAATCTACTGTATTTGTTGATGTATGTTAAAGATACAAATCAGAGATTAAAATGAGTTGAAAGAGTATCAACAATGTCTGACAAGATCAGAGGCTCTTCTTTCATCTTTCTTTCATTCCACAACAAATGACCTTGTGACTGACAACTGGTTGGTAATTTATTGAAACCATAAATAGAGTTCCAGAAAAATAAAGCTATAAATGGTGGAAGCTGCACAAATCACTTATTTGAATAGCCAAAGGTTAGTTTAGTTTAATATGATAGAGTACCCCTTGCATTTGAATGTATAATATGATCTCCATTCGGAAAAACTAGGGGCTAAAAAGCTACCAGTTATCTTCTATTTACTGAAGTTTGGTCAGTCCACCTTTCCATCATAACCAAAAACATAGACATTTGAAAACATCCAATAGGTTTAGGTTTAGGTTTTATTCAACTTGTATGCCGCCCTATTCCTGGGGGACTCAGGGCGGCTAACAAAACCAAGTGAGGGGGGGGAACAATACAAAAGGGAAGGCAACAGAAACAGACAACAATACAAAACAATTTAAAAGGTCTCAACAAGCACACCGATTTGAGTAGGGGATGGAACTCAACAGCCCCAGGCTTGCTGGAACAGCCAGGTCTTAACGGCTTTACGGAAAGCCTGAAGGGTGATGAGGGTCCGAATCTCCACGGGGAGATCGTTCCAGAGGGCCGGAGCAGCCACAGAGAAGGCCCTCCTCCGGGTGGTTGACAGCCGGCATTGGCTGGCAGATGGAATTAGGAGGAGGCCTAATCTGTGGGATCTAATGGGTCTTTGGGAGGTAATCGACAGGAGGAGGTCTCTCAAGTACCCAGGTCCAATACCATGTAGGGCTTTACAAGTGACGACTAGCACCTTGAAGCGTATCCAGAGACGAATAGGCAACCAGTGCAGCTCGCGGAGGATAGGTGTAACGTGGGTGTACCGAGGTGCACCCACAATCGCTCTCGCGGCTGCATTCTGGACCAGCTGAAGTCTCCGAACACTCTTCAAGGGCTGTCCCATATGGAGCGCATTGCAGTAGTCCAGTCTTGAGATCACAAGGGCGTGAGTGACTGTTGTGAGAGCCTCCCGGTTCAGGTAGGGACGCAATTGGTGCACCAATAGGAACTCTGAAAGTCACTGCATTGTTCACTAATAACAAATATTCACAATATTGTATCGCGTATAAGTAGTCCTTGAGGTACGACTAAAATTGAGCCAAAATTTCTGTAGCTAAGCAAGAAAGTGAATTTTGTCTCACTTTATGACCTTCTTGTCAGAATTGTTGTGTCAAATATTTATTTTATTTCTTTAAAAAAAAACACAAATATTTCATCATTTGTCAATCATTAAGACATTGAAGTACAATTTTTTTTGTGTGTGTGCCCCTCCCTCCCTCCACCCCCAACCCCCTCCTCCTCCCCCCCCCCAACTTCCCAGAACCCGTACACGGTATGGATTTTTAACTAACACAGTCTAAAATCTATTGAGAAAAAAGAAATAAAGAAATTAATGACATTCTACATTGACCTTAGTTTCTTCTTACTGAACTAACTTTTAACAGTTTAAATCATTTCTGATCTTAAGCATAGGCTAACTGGAATTTCTTGGTCCGGTATTTATTTTGTATATAGTCAATCCATTTTTTCCAGTCTCGTTTATATCTCTCATTTGAGTGATCTTTAAGATATGCCGATATT